GGATCCCAAGCGGACTCTGCGCTGTCAGTGCAGACCCCGATGTGGGGCTCAAACCCACAACCCTGGGATCGTGGCTTGAGCCGAAATCACAAGTCAGACGCTCAACCGACTCAGCCACCTAGGCACCCCAGCTAAAGTCGTTTTGAAAGAGAGCGTGTTTGCGAAGATTGAGTTTTAACCAGAATCAAGGTGAAGGTCTCTATTGTGGAGGCAACATGCAAGCTGGAGTGAAGGAAGCATCTGGAAGGAGACGCTGGAGAAGGCCTCGGTTTCCACAGGAATCGCTGTGTGCACCACGTGGGGCCCACTGCGCATGCTCCACAGTCACTACACGCGCACTGAAAGTGAGCCGACCGACAATGCCAGCCCTCCTTCCCCCACATGCGGGGTCGTGCAGTCTGAGACGTCAGGAGCCCCTTCCTCCAGGCCGCCGACCCCTGTTCTCCATGAGATCTGGCCTGAATTCCTGTCCCTCTGTCTGTCTGTTTGCACGGTGAGCCTGTCTGGTTTGAACTACCCTGCAGGTCACCCTTGAGTGGGCCACACAGCTCTGCCCCATTCCTTCTAAAATCACGCAAACCACAAGCACGAGGGAGAAAACGGTGCGATCCGACACCCCGAGGTGCAGTTTAAAGTGCTGCTTGCGCGGCTGCCAGCCCACGCTCCAGAGGAGCCCTTTCCACGCCGGGGACTGCCTACCGCAAGGCGCTCCTGTGTTCCCTGGTCATCATCCTGAGGCGGGAGACGACCCTGTCTTTGGAGGAGACAGGCCCTGGCAGCCAGCAGCTCACGTCCCTGGCCCCCCTACATCCTAGAACACGTATGTGTGTCATTGTCCAACCCTGGGCTCACTGGGCACTTTTCCCCCTCACCCGCAGCAGTTTTCCCAAGTGAGGTGACAGGCCAGCATCCTGTGTGTCGCCCCCTCTGACCTGCTCACCGTCCCTTGACCCCATCCACCTGCCACTGGGTCACTTTTACATCCTGAAGTTTCTGGGTTGGAACCTATAAAGACAGAAGGTGGAAAGCACATGTGTGTGATCACTGGTCCATCGCCGCCACGCCTGCAGAATGGGTGAGGGCCACACCCATCCAGGGAAGGGGGAAGGGAGCAGGGACCCCGGGCCACTGACCTGGGCTGCGAAGGGGCAGGGGGCTCCGCTCCTGACTCTCCCCCATGCCTCCAGTGGTTGCCCCGAAGCTTTGCTGGGCTGCCCGTTTGTTCTCCTGGACTTTCTTTCTTTTTTTTTTTTTTTTTAATTTTTAAAAATGTTTTATTTATTTCCCTGGTCCCGGGGAGAGGATGCTGCGCTTTCGCGGCCGCCTCTCCGCCTGCCCCTTTGTGCACCCTGCTTCCTCCTCCAGCCCTCTGCCGCCTTGTCATTCCAGGGTCCAAGTCCCAATTTCCACGAGCCTCTTCTTGCTTTCAAAAGTGCCCTTTGCTTGTGTCTGATTTTATTTATTTATTTATTTATTTATTTATTTATTTTTTAATATTTTTATTTATTTCTAGGAGAGAGAGAGAGACAGCGTGAGCAGGGGAGGGTCAGAGAGAGAGGGAGTCACAGACTCTGAAACAGGCTCCAGGCTCTGAGCTGCAGTCAGCACAGAGCCAGACGCGGGGCTCGAACCCACGAACCGCGAGATCATGACCCAAGCGAAAGTCGGACGCTTAACCGACTAAGCCACCCAGGCGCCCCTGCTTGTGTCTGATTTTAATGTCACAGACATACTCTGTCTCTTTTTTCCGAGGGTTTTCATTTTCCTCTTTGGGGAGATTTTTAAATTCCACGTGATTTTCTTTATCTCTTCCGAGCTCCTTCCCTCGCTGGCTGATCGGTTTGTTTCTCTCTTTCAGCTGTGAGCAGACCCTTGCGGTGACCCTGGGCTCACCGGGCCATCAGGGGTGAGCCCTGATGTCCTGAGTGGTGACAGAGGACCCGCAGTGCGGCGCTCGGGCAGGGCCGGCCCCTCTGCGGCCGACTCTGAGTCTTTCCTCTGTGGCTGTGATTTGCCTGGGGACGGAGTGGGGCCAGCCCCCCGCCGGAAGCTGGGAGGGAAGCTCTGTCCCTCACAGTGGTGGTCACCTCCGGGCCTCGTGTCTCTGAGTGCACGTGGGTGTCCCACTGCTTCCTCCAGTGACCAGCCGCCTGCCACGGGCCTCCACTGTCCTGCTCTGGGATCTGTGATCCCCAACTCTTTCCTCGACCCCACGGCCAGACCGCCGTGGCACTGGCCCTCTGCTCTCCTGCCTGCACGTTGGTGACTCGAGTCCAGCTGTTTCCAGCTCCCAAAATGTCGTCAATGCTTTCAACTACTGTCAGTTCTTCTCTCACGCCCCGGCTGCTCACTTCCTCCCCAACGTTTCTGCGAGAGAGCCTCCAGACTGGCAGAGAAACGGCGGGAACCGGAGAGCCACCTCAGGAACAGCCCCCAGGAATTCAGCCCCCACCACCACGCTCGCTGGGTGGCACCTCGCGCCCATGCCTCCGGTCAGTCCATCTCATTTTGAAAAGTGCATTTCTGACCAAGGCTGCGCGGCAACGGTGTTTCCCGTCCAGCTTGTGTCCGCTTGTGGTCTCTGTACGTCTCCACCTCTGAGGAAGCTGTTTGGGACGCACGCTCTCTTTGCCTCTCCCGTCCCCAGGGCTGCTCTGGGCTCCACCGGCTCCTCTCCTGCGGGGTGGGGAGGGGGGTCTTCAAGGGCCTCCAGTGAGCCTTCGTGTCTGTCTGTCATCTGGAAGCAGAAGACGCGGGTAACAGCATAGGCTGCTGGCTGGGCTCCCCCGCGCTCCCGCCCCTGGGTCGGCCTTCCTAGCGGGGAAGGGTTCCTGGGGCGCCGCGCGGGCAGGGCTGGGGGTGGGCCAGCCAGACCGCAGGGTGGGGGCCGCGATGCCGTCCCCACGACCAGGCCCCCACACTGTGCGGGTGAGCGTGGGCCACGCGACTCCGGAGGCGGTGTGAGGCCCGCAGGGAGTGAGGCTGGGAGGGGCCGGGGGGCTCCACTGGCGGCAGCTGACCATCCTCCCTGGTCTTGTCCATCCTCCCCGGCCCGATCCTCCCTCGGCTTGACCCTGGCTGGCAGCTTGGCCACCCACCGCTTCACACGCCCCTGCTGGTCCCTGGGCTCCAGAGACAGTGGCCTTCCTCACACTGTCACCAGAAGAGGCAAAATCACAGTGCCTGCCCCCCCCCCCCCACCGGTTCTGTTCCTGATGGAGCCACATCGCCCCCTCACCAGCCCCCACAATGTGAGCACCGGGAGAGTCTGAGCTCACTTTTACAGGGATGCCTCTGCTGTCTTGGTTCCCACGTGTTCCTTTCTGGAAGCACATGACGGTGTCGTGCCTGCGGTGTTAAGTAACTGTGCCGAGCGCTACTCAACGAGCCGGGTACTTGCCTGCCGGGTGAAACAGGGCTTCAAGCATGTGGTGGTGGCTCTCATCATGCTTGACACTTACGGGTCTCAGCTCTGAGCTCCTGCAAGTCCGAAAAAGCACCGCCTCTCCCACGAACCGGGCCACACGCCGCCCCGGGGCCCCGGGCCCCCGGGGTCTCCCTCCTCCTCCGTGCTCCCTCCCTCCTGGAGCCACGAGCGCCCAAACCCAGGGATTTCCTGGGAGTGCGGGAGCTCAGGTGGCCTGGACGTTTGCGCATGTGCGTCATGGGGTGACCACCTGCATGTGAAAGATTGATGACGTTGAAAACACGGTTTCCACGGAGCATGCGCAGGGCCCCTGGGCTGGGGTGGACTCCGTGGCCAGATATTTAAGTTTTACCACCAAGTGTTGAAAACATACAAGACGTATTGAAAGAGGACACAGCCAGTACCTGTGTGCAGGACTCGGGCTGCCAGCACAGCAAGGGCCCCCGGGGGCCCCCCCCCCCCCCCCCCCCCCCCCCCCCCGCAACGCCCTTGGGGTCGGTCTCCCTGCCCTGTGTGATGGGAGCTGGGGGTCTGTGCGCCCTGGGGGCTCTTGCATTCTCTGGCAGGTTGTGAACTTTATAGAAACACTTCACGTGCCCCGCTCAGGGGTTCTTTGGGGACATCGTCGGGGGACCAGGGTGTGAAAGGTGGCAAGACCGACGTCATTCCTGTCCCGATTCACAGGGTTCCAGCCTCCTCTGAGCTTCAGGGAACCTCGCCGTCCACAGACCGCTCTGCTGGCTGCACACGGCCTCTCTAATTACTGTTCATCACCTCCCGATTCTGCACCTCATGCCAAAGTCAGATGGTGCTTTTTCCCCATCTGCTGTCACAATCTGCTCAAACTGTCACATTCCGAGAGCTCTTGGGAAATCGTAGAGCCCAGAAAGGGAGACGAATGTGCCCCCACCAGACTTCCTACTGACAGTGTTCTGGTCCACAGTCCCGTCCTGGGATTCTCGGTATATACTGTCGAGTTCAGAAAACTCACTCTTTTCTCTGATGTCCATTGTGAGTGGCATAGAAGTAACTACCAAGACTCAGGCAGGACTAACTCCCGAACCTCAATATGTTCTGCTCTCTAATAAATAATATTTAATGAAGAGGCTTCTCATCTCTAGCCTCTCACAAATATTTTTAGCTGATAGAGAAAAAACTAAAGGACACGAATACCTTGGTTTGCAAGGCATAATTTGTTCTGGAAACACGCCTGTAATCCAAAGCACTTGTATATCAAAGTGAATTGCAAGAACCTCAGTTGTGATCACGTGATGTTCAGAGTCACACACGACTTGTATCACAGACTTGTATCGCAAGATGTCACTCGTTGACCAAGTTACAATTTATCAGGAACGCCCATCTTGTGGAGCATGTATGGGAGGAGTTACTCGTAGTCCAAGCTCTCACTGTAACGGAAACTCAGAAGATTCATTCGTTCACAGTCCAAAAATATTCATACAAAAATGATTACCAAACTGTAATACAAAATAATAAAGAAAATACAAAATACAGAGAAAAATAAACCAATGACCCTGCACTTGCCTTTGAAAACCTTCGTGGCTGGTGTGAGGGAGACCAGAGAGGAGGGACACCGTGTAGGAAGACTTTCACTATCACTAATGGAATCAATGTTCTCTGTTGGCTCGATGGAACCTTCTTCTGCAGGGGGGCCGCTGTGTATGCTCGAGCGGACGTTGACTACAGCCCAGCGTTAATAAACTCTGGTCACACACTGCATGTGATGTAACCGGCAATAAGGCAGCAGAGGACAGGGTCTCTATCTGAAGACGGCCTGCCGGAGAAGGAAGGAAAGCTCACTCTTGTGCAGAAAAGCAAAGGACCGTCCACAGGGGCTTCAAAGTGACAAAAACCACATGAGTGCCACTGGTGGGCACCTTCCAATGTTCTGAAAAACTGATCTCTACCAAACACTGTGGCCTGAGACGGAGCATTTGAGCATGGGAGATGATTACCCACAATCCCACAGACAGTGAAGGAGGGAGGGAGGGGGAGAGAGAACCACTGGCTTGGTTGTGATCAGGTGATGTTTGGTGCCATGCACCTCCTATCACAAGACATGGCTGTTCATCAAGTCAACACGTGTGAGTGTTCACGGAACAAGTCTCTCGCAGCCCAGGGTCTACTGCACGTGCTCACGCCACACACCGGAATCTGAAAGTGCAAGATGAAAACATTTCAGGAGAGATGGGGGGCGGGGGCAGCCGGCCATCCTGGGGGTGAGCTTCTCCGGTGTGCAGGAGGCACCTTCCTTTCTTGCCACGGAGAGCTCTGCGGAGCCACCCTGGAGACGTGCTGATGGCCAGGGTGCCCCCAGGCCGGGACAGGGGAGCCCAGCTGAGTGGGCGGGTCTGGCACAGCCCAGGTGACTGGCGGAAGCGACTACAGGTCTATTTACTGCAGAGGTTGCTGGGGAACAAATCCCATTCAGACCGGAGCAGTCCTCCCTCCCACTGTGTTTTCCAGGGGACACGTGGCCAGGGCTTCCTCACGGCTCAGGGACCTGTCCCAGCCCCACAGCGGTCCCCTTGACCCTGCCCCGACTAGCCTGCAGGTGAGGAGGGTGCCCAGTGCCACCACCTGCAGCTCTGATCTCCGTAGGAAGGTCACCCTGTAGTGGCGTGCTGGGTCCGCTTTGGGGGCAGAAAACAGGCCCGTCCCATGGCCTGTAAAATGCACACTTTCTGGGTGAACTTGCTCAGATGGTTTGCACGTTTAATTCCATCGGGTCATTACCATCTCTAGCGCCCTGCAACTGTGAGAGTGCAGCCAGCTCAAGCTGGAAGCATGTCCCCTCTCTTCCTGTCCCAGCCCCATTTCTATCCCCAAAGGCCATGCTGTCCCTGAGACCAGCCAGTGGGTGGTGACCCTTGGGAACAAGGGTCCTGCCGCTCTTTGGAGGGTTTGCTGCTTCCCCGATGCTCCGGATGCCCTGATCGGAAATGTTCCTCTTCCCCCCCCCACCCCCGCACCGAGGTAGGCCCAGCACATTGGCCACAGCCTGCGGGGGCTATTCCACCAGGGCCAGGGGGCAGCCCTCTGCCTCTCTGGGGGTCCTGGATTCGAGGTGGCGGGCTCAGGGCAGCCGGAAAGGCCTCCTCCACCATGCTGTCCTTGGGGCTCGGGCTTCAACGCTAACAGCACCAGCAATTCCGAGTGCGTCTGTGCTAGGATCTTCACCCCACTCTGCAGAGGCAGGTGTCCGTGGTTCTGAGAAGGACCTGGGACGATGGTGCTCCAGGGGCACCGGGAGGGCGACAGGCTGGACCCCTCTCCCTTTGGCGTCTGAGGCTTCTCTCCTCTCCCACGAGCCGAGCAGATGAGGGAAAGCAGGTGTGCTCTGCAGATGACCTCACCCCTACCATGAGTTCATCCCAGTGCCTCCTCGGGACCAGGCAGCCTACAAGGGTCCTATAAAGGTCGTTTCGGGGACAGAAGAGAGACCGGGGTGAGGAAACGAAGGGAAGACGGCCAGTCTGCTGCGCAGCCGGGGAGGAGGCCCCAGCAGGACCTGTGGCCAGGAGCCCCGAGACTGGGAAGCTCAGCCTTGCTCAGGGATTCTGCCCCCGGAGGGCCCTGCTGGACCGCCTGCTTGTCACCCGGGGCCTAGCGTCAAGGCTTTTCCGGCCAGCCTTGTGCACGCGTGAGGGGTGTGCGTCCCAGCACCGGGGACAGCAGAGGGAGGCCAGCAGGCCATCTCTGGGGCCTGTCGGGAGGGGCCTGGGCCCTGCCCTGGGACCACTGCATGGACTTGCGGCCTTTGCAGGTCCCTGCCCAGCAACCTAGCGTGCACATTTTTAGATACTCAGAAACAGTTCCGTTTCCCTGGCAGATCCAGGTCTTCACTCTCACAAGAAAAGCTGCTCTAGATATTCTTATGTGAGTCTTTGGCGGGGGATGGGGGGCAGGCGGCACATGTTTTCATCTGTCCTGGTTAACAGGACAGGTGAGTCCCTCCCTCCAGGGAAGCCGCCAGACGCTTGCCGGTGGCCCCACCACTCACAGTCCCATCCGCGCTCGGCTTCCGGTGCCAGGCCCTGGCCAGCACGCGTGCTGTGGGCTGCCCCAGGCCGTCCGTGCTGGGCTGACCCCCAGGGGGCGCCCCTGGCATTTCCCAACTGCATATGGTGAGAGAAGATCTCACACTCCCGGTGGCGAAACACCAGCCCGGGAGGCGCCGCCGACGGGTAGTCCGAGTCAGACCCGTCTGCACAGCGTTCTGAGCCAGATTAGCTGCAAGTTCCACGTGCAGGCTGATCCCCATCTTGGGGAGCTCCCGGAGAGGCTGTCCGTGCAGCTGGTCCTGCCTGCACCCCCGGCCTCCTCTTACCTGTGGGAGGGGGTCTGCGAGGCCATCGATGCCTCAGCGGGATTCTGGTTGGGTGGACACTGGGCGGGAACTCCCTGGACCGCTTTTGTTTCAAAGACGAGTGTGCCCTGTTGGCTGTGTTGCTCACGTTTTCACGTTCTTCCCTCTCTAATCCGAACAGAATCGAGATTTGACCTTGTTTAGCAGCTCTGAACATAGACCCTGCTGGAAATGAGTCATATCTGGGACCCTCCTCACCCAACCCACACTCAGGGAAGACACTGCCCTCACTTCCTTGACCTGCCGGAAGAACCCAGTTCTACGTTTATGTAGCCGGCAGAGAGGTCTTGGCCCAGAGAAGAGAGGGTTCCCCCAGCCCTTTAGGCTACACTAGTCACAGCAATAAGGCCACTTTCCTCTGCCGCGACTGTTCCAGGGGGTGAATGGCACCCTGCAAGGCAAAAAAAAAAAAAAAAGAAAAATCACCTGGGACTCCGTCAACTTTCCCCCTGCCCCTTCCTTCCAGTGTGGGATGTGGGTGTCACGCCTGGAGCTCTGGTAGCTATTTTGTAACAAGGAGGCGGCCGGCATGAGGGGTAAAGGTCCTCGGGCTGGGAATGCAAACAGAAGGTCAGGACGTCCCCAGCTGTGGGGTGTCTTTAGCTCCAGCCTCAGCTCTGACAAGTTCTTCTGTGACACCATTAAGTGTTGTTACTGTAAGAGCCCCTCTGACATGGGCTTTCTCATTTCTCACATTTGCAGCCCAAGCTTCTTATTTGGAAATAGCTTTACGAAACGTCAGCCTGAGCAGGCGTCACTTCACACAGACCTATTCGGTCCTGTCCCACGAGGCAGAACTGCTGTGTTTTTCACCCCTCGTCCTGTAAACATCGTTTGTCAGCAGACAGGGCAGGAGCAGGGGAGCTGGGGGTGTCACCTCCAGATGGAGGAGGAGGTGGGAGGCTGCCCGCTGGCCCCGCGGACTGTGGAGGCCGCGCGCAGGCAGGAGGGGGTCTAACCAGGCAGCAGTGTCCCGGCGGGGGGTCACGTCTTCCTGGGCCCCCACAGCTCCCCAGGCCGGTTCTGTGGCCAGTGGGACTCCTGAGGCTCCATCGAGGAGGCTGTGCAGCTGTGCCCACTTCTCTGGGGACACCTGCCTGGGTCGTGTCCATGTGACAAGCTGGATTGAGGGTACCCAGCCCAGGGACCACATGGAGGGAGAGAGACAGACACTGAGAGAAACAGAGACAGGGCGGGACCTGTGTGCAGCAGGTCGTTCAGAGGCCACGTTCCAGCCTCTGCAGCCCAGGTCTTGGCTGCGGCACTGAGGGGCCCTGGGCTGGATCACTGCAGAATAGGGTGGCCGCCCCTGCTGACCGGGGTGTTGTCTCTCAGGGGGCTGCTGCCCAGAGAATCATCTCAGGCTGTAGGAGGCCCGGGTCCTGGTGGGACAAACAGAGCAGACCCCAGGCATCTAGAAGCTTCTCTGGGGAGAGCAGGGTGGGGGAGCCAGAGGGATGTATGCTGGCGAGGGCAGCTGAGCTTGAACCCCCAAACTGGACTTTGCTGGGCCAGTCACCCTGCCTCCAAACATCAAAATGCCCAGACGGAAGCAACAGCACGTCTTGTTTGTCACGACGTCTTGGCTGCACATGTCAGGAAGTCCCCAGGCTCTCCCACAAGGGGTCTCTAATTCCAAGCTTCCCCACGCAGCAGGGGTCTCGTGCGAGGTCACCTGGGCCACTTCCCACGTGTGGAAGCCAGTGTAGAGACCAGCACGAGGGACAAACCTGCTGAGGCAGAATCGTGCACATCTGGCCCACATCTGTCCACCGTGGGCAGGTCTCCGGGATGGACGGGATGGGGGTGTCTGCTCCGTCCTGTCGCCCCCAGCTTAGCAGAGGTTCACAAGTGGCCTCAGTCCTCAGAGGTGACGGCCCTGCCCTGCATTGACCTATGTCTCCTGGCTCCCCGGAGTCCTTGGAAGGCAGTAAGGGCCCCATCGGTTGGGCCATCTTAGGTGCAGAAGCGAGTGCTGGAGACACTTTCTCACAGGCCTGGACTTTGCACCTAAGCCCCTAAAATCTCCGCACGGCTGGCTGTTCTTTTTCATTTGTAAAACTTAAAAACATTTTAGCGAGAACAGCATCTAGTCAGGGTGTAGGGCACAGTGACACGAGGCACACGTACCAGGGACACGATGACCGGAGCCGAGCTCTGGGCCCCCTTCTCCCCCCACTCAGTTACCGTCCGGGTGTGGTCACAGCACCTGAGGCCACGCACACTCAGCCGACTGTGAGCAGGTCACCGTGCCGGGTGCCGGGTCTCTGCCTGGGTCACTGCCACCACGGGCCTCCCCAGCCGCTCTGAACCTTTATGGGCAGCGGGGCCATTAGACAGGGGAGTGTGTCTCAGGCCCTGAATCTGCAGATGCTGATGATTCGTGAACATTGAGCTCAGGGCCCACAGCACTCCTGCCTGAAGGAAGCCTCTCTGACACTCGTGCTTCTCCACGAGACCTATCACAGCCTTCTGGGGCTTAGGGACACAGGACAGCCCTGCAGGCACAGTCCTCGAATTTCAGAGAATGACCAACAGAAAGCACAAACCACACACACACAGACACACACGCACCATGGAACTAAATAGACCACGAAAAGGGCACTTTGGGTGTGAGGTGTGTGTCAAGCCACTGATTTCCCCTGCTCTGCGCATGTTCACAAGTGACTGGGATGAGACCCTGGGGATTAATTTGGGGTTACAGATTAAAGTGAGCAAGTGAACTCCCAAATGTGGAATCCACAGTGAGGATCCCAAGCATCCGACAAAGAACTGCATTCAAAAATAATAAAGAACGTCTGCTTAGGTGTCACAGGTCAGCTGGGGGCTTCAAGGTGGGGGGCTCCGAGACTGGGGGCTCTCTGAGGTGTGGGGGGTTACTCTGAATCGGGAGAGGGACTCTGAGGGGGGTGCTCCAAGGCAGAAGGGGGCAGTCGGAGGTGAGGTGGCTCCAAGGCTGGGAGCTCAGAGATACGAGCTCTCCGAGGCACGGAGGGGGTCCCCGAGGTGGGGGGGGCTCCAAGGAGGAGTGACTCCAAGGGGGGGGCTCTGAGGTGGGGGGTGTCCTGCAAGGCGGGAGTGGATCTGAGGCAGGGGTCTCCAAGGTTGGGGGGTCGGAGGAGGGGAGCCTCCGAAGGAGGGCTCTCTGAGGCAGGAGGGGGGGCTCTCCGAGGTGGGGGGTGGGGCTCCAAGGGGGGGAGGTGGGCTCTGAGGAGGGGGGTCTCCAAGGCGGGTGGGGGTGGTAAGTTCCCTTGGAGAGGTGACTCCAAGGCTGGGTGCTCCAAGGGGGCCTCCGAGGCTGAGGGGTCTCCAAAGTTGGGGGGGTCGGAGGTGGGGGCCTCCTAGGTGAGGCGCGGGGCTCTCCAAGGTGGGGCTCGGAGGTGAGGGGGTCTCCGAGGCTGGAGGCTCCAAGGTAGGAAGGTAGGCTCCAAGGCAGGGGTTAGGGGGTCTCTGAGGAGGGGTAACTCCAAGGTTGGAGGCTCTGAGGTGGGGGGCTCGGAGGCAGTGGGGGTCCCCAAGGCAGGGACTCTCCAAGGGGGGGATGCTCAGGGGCTTGGAGTTGGCGGGCTCTCCGAGGAGAGGGAACTCCAAAGCTGGGAGCTCTGAGGCAGGGGAGGGTCTCTGGGGTGGGGGGTGGGGCTCCAAGGCAGAGGACCTGTTGCTCTCCAAGGTGGGTGCTCTCCGAGGCAGGAGGGGTGCCCAGCCGCAGGGGTCTCCGAGGCGTGGGTAGGAGTGGGACTCCAACACCGGTGGCTCCGTAGTGGTGGGGGGGGCGCTCTGAGGCAGGGGCATGGGGCTTCCCAGGCGGGGAGGTAGGCTCTGAGGCGATGGGGGGGGATCTTTGGGGGGGGGAGTGTGGGGGTTGGCCTCGGAGGTGGGGGGTTACTCCAAGGGGGGGTCCAAGGTGGGGCCTCTCCAAGGAGGGCAGACTTCAAGGCTGTGGGCTCAGAGGCAGGGCTTTTGGCGGTGGGGGGTGGGTCTGAGGCAGGGTCTCCAAGGCGGGCAGGGGTGGGCTCTGAGGTGGGGAGATAGGCTCCGAAACAGGGGTGTGGTCTCCGAGGCAGGCGGCTCTCTGAGGCGGGGCGGGGGGACTCCAAGACTGGGGATGTTGGGGGGGAGCTCAGAGGCGGGGGCTCTTCCAGGCAGGGGGAGGGTCTGAGGCGGGGGTAGCTCTGAGGCGGGAGGGGGCAGCTACAAGGGTTGGGGTCTCTGAGGAGGGAGGACTCCCAAGGCTGGGGGTTCCGAGGTGGGTGGGGCCTCTGGGGTAGGAGGTGTGGAGACTCCAAGGCAGAGGGCTCCGAGGAGGGGCTCTCCGCCATGGGTGGGTCTTTGACGTGAGGTGGGGGGAACTCCGAGGAGGGGGCTCTGAATCGTGGTGGGGGTGCTCGGAGGTGCTGGGAGGGGGCTTGGCGGCGGGGGCTGGGACTCTGAGCAGAGGGGTGTGGGCTCAGAGATGGAGGGCTCCAAAGCAAGGGGGCCTCAGAGGTGGGGGCTCTCCAGGGGAGGGTGGACTCCAAGGTGGGGGCTCTGCGAGGCTGGGGAGGGTCTCTGAGGCAGGGGTGGGACTCCAAGGCAGTGGCTCCTCAGCCAGGGGTGGGGAAAGGGAGCTGGATCCTCCGCCAGGGGCGGGGCTCTGAGGTGGGGAGGGAGGCTCCAAGGCCGGTGGGGGGCAGGGGGGTTGGAGGCAGGGGAGGGCGGCTACAAGGGTTGGGGTTTCCGAGGAGGGCGGCTCCAAATGCTGTGGGTTCTGAGGCGGGAGTGCGGGGACTCTGAAGCAGAGGGCTCGGAGTGGGAGAGTGGGCTCCCGGCCGGGGTGGGGCTCTGAGGAGGGTAGACTCCAAGTCTGAGGGCTCAGAGGTGGGGAGGGGGCTCCCGGCAGTGGATGGGGGCGCCTCTCCGAGGCAGGGGGCTTTGAGGCAGAGGGTGGGGGTCCAAGGTGGGAGTCGCACCGAAGTGGGGGTTGGGGCCTCTGAGGTGGGGGGCACCCTCTAAGGCAGGGTCGGGCCACAAGGGTTGGGGTCTCCGAGGAGGGGGGACTCCAAGGCTGGGGGCTCCGAGGTGGGGGGCACTACCAGGTGCTTGGGGGGGCTCTCCGGGGAGGG